TGCGACATTCTTCAAATCTCTGAAAACAGCCTACATCAGCTTTACGCAGTATGACTTACTTTGGATGGTGCAACGGACTTCCCCAGATGTGCGCCTGTAGAGAAATGACACAGATAACTGTGCTAACTGTGAAGAATATACCTTAAGGAAGCCATGTGCAGACCTTGAGGAGGGGCACAAGGATTTCGAGAATGAAACTGGATGGAACTCACCTTCGACAATGCCATTTAAGGGCCGCATCGTCCCGACGTGATCTCCAGCGGCTTGCACATCCTGGATTCTCTCTCTTCCAAGTTCTTCCGTAGAAGCTTGCCATCCGAAGGAACATTGCCCAAGGTTACTGCAAACTGCCGAAGTGGACGAACTGTCCTCAGCAGAAGCACAGGCATAGGAGATATCCGCACAGACCGAAGTCAAAGAGGTGCTACGAGATTGGCCTCGTAGCAGAGAAATACCTAATATTGGCTCACATAGCTGTACTTGAACAAAATTGGCCTTGTAAAGAACCGTAGTAGCGCTAAAAAAGTGAAAGAGGTTCAAATAAGGCTTGTTACCGACTAGTTCAGGATGAAGAGGCTAATAAAACGGAGTTGCATTGGGCTTTACCTGGTGAGCCGGACATTATCCAGTTGTTGTACGTCTGGGCTGAACTGGCACGTTTCTTCTAGTCTCAGAAGACATGTACATTCTGCAAGATCAAGTACGGGGGTTGATGAAGGGTCGTAGACGACCGATGATGCAACGCAGGACACAACTGGTGAAGCGCTTCGAAATTGAGCTGATGGTACGAAGTGAAATGCCGAACGAACGGACACATCCTCACATGCCGACCAGGATTCGGAAAGGATAGAGGAGCTTTCTACATCTGTGTAGAAAGCTCCATCTGCCAGGGATCCACAGACGACAGATCGGCAGACCCTCATAGATAGAAGCACACCTTTAGTTGTTAACGGCCAGGTGAGGGCAACGGACGGGGTGGTCGTCATATCTTCTCGGGTGGCTTCATCTTCAAGTTGTCCATTGATACCGGAGCATTGGGCTCTAGTTGACGAAGACACACTTTGATTTGTTGGCGGCCCGGAAAGGGACGGGGCGGTCGTCATCTCCTCTCGGGTGGCTTCATCCCCCAGTTGTCCAGGTACGCGTGAGCGTCGGGCTCTAGTTGCTGAAGGAGCACCTTGCGTCATTGACGGCCAGGGAAAGGAAAGGCACGTGACGCTTGTCATCTCCTCTAAGTTGGCTTCAGCCTCCAGTTGTCCAGATACGCGGGAGTGTCGGTCTCTAGTTGATGAAGGTGCACCTTGCGTCATTGACGGCCAGGGAAGGGAAAGGGACGTAACGCTTGTCATCTCATCTAGGGTGGCTTCGTCCTCCAGTTGTCCAGATACGCGGGAGTGTCGGTGTCTAGTTGATGAATGAGCACCTTGCGCCTCTGACGGCCAGGTAAGGGAAAGGGATGTGACGCTTGTCATCTCCTCTCGGGTGGCTTTATCCCCCAGTTGTACACTCACGCGGGAGCGTCGGGTTGTAGTTGATGACGACACACGTT